CCCCCTTTCTGCAGGCCATGCAGCCAGGGCTGATGGCCAGGCACACCAGTGGCCTCCAGGCTGCCCAGCCGGCTGCAGGCACCGCAGTGCAGCCAGGACCCTCCGTGAGGCCCGGGGGCTGCTGCTCTCTGTGATGCCCGGGGGGCAGTGGCACCTTTGCCAGGGGTCCCTTCCCCTGGCACGGCACACGCCAGCCCCTGCTCCCTCACAGGGCCCACGACCCGAGGGACTCGTTCACCTGTGCAATGGCAAGTGCAGTGACTTCTCGGAGCTTGGCCGAGGCTTTCATCTCCTCCTCAGCGTGCTCCTTGTTGCACTGGCTGTTCTGCTCCCACTCACTGAGCACAGTTGATCTGTGAACAAATCGGCGGTTACAAAAATAAGTGGAGTGTTCTCAAGACAGTTAAAGGAACCCCCTGCTGTGGGCCAAGGCAGCTCTGCGCCGTAAGAAACGATTCAGGAATTCAGGAAGTCACATCCTGTCTGATCCCCACGCTACACCAGCTGTATTTTGCTACCCCACGGCCCAACATCTGCTCAAACCATGCTAGAAATGCCAAGCAAGTGAAAATGGCAGCAGCTCCCCCCTGAGCTGTGCCAGAGGCTGATACCACGCGACCCCCTGAGGCTCACCCACAGTCAGGCAGGAGGCAGGCAGGGCAGCTGGCTTCTCTTTCTGCAGTGACAGTTGGGATAACTCCCCAAAGTCTGTGACTTCCTAATTCAAGAGCCACAACAAATCCCAGATGCCAACTCCTGAGCTTTCTCCTGAGCTTGCACCCTTCAAGCCAGGGTATAGCATGGAAGGAAAGAGCATCCCAAGCCCAGGGCTCTTTCGATCACCAGCACAGATTGGGCCACACAAGGACAGGCTTGTTCCTTACCCGTTTGGGACTCGGGTTGGGTTGACCTTGAAGGAGATGTTGGGAGAGGTAACGCTGAGGGACAAGCACACCCGATCTATCTCCAGGGCTTCCATCTTGTGCCGGTGGTCACAGCCCAGCTGCTGGCGAGCCTCCTGCAGGCGGCTGTGGAGAGCACACGGGGGGGACGGGCAGCTCCCCAACCTCCCACCACCACCTCAGCCAGCTCCTCAAAATGAGGGATGAGGTGCTGCCCTCCCAGTGAACTGGGCCCAGCCCGGTGAGGCCACAGAACTGCTTCACCACCTGCCCAGCTCCCTCGGGCTCTGCGCTGGCACCGCACGCTGAGCTTTGCTGCCCACCCTCCTGCAGCGGGACCGTGACCCACGAGGGACCAGGGCCTGGCAGCTTTAACACCTCCAGGTCACCAATTCATGAACCAAGGCAGGTGGCATCTGTCTGGGGTGAAACTTCCCGAGGATGCTTGTGAAGTCTCCCCTGACACAGTCCCCTCTACAAACCCCAAACCCCACAGATCTTGGCAACAATCCCCAAAGGCCCCTCTGAGGGGTTCTCTGCCCTGGCCTGCTTGCCCATCTCAGCATGGCACTAGAGGCACATCAAACTGCTGGGGCCATGCAAGGCAAGCAGAGTCTGGTCCAGAGCTGTGTCATTTGCCTCACCAGAGCTGCTCGAAGGCTTCGGTCACTTTCTCCTGCAGCTCTCTCTTGGCTTTGTCTATGGCCTTCACCTCCTTGTGCAGCTCCTCCTCCACAGGGTCCCTCACCACGTCAATGGCGCGGCGGCTCTCACGGAGCGTCAGGCACTCGATGGAAACCTCCAGAGCCAAGTTCTTTGCCTGGAGGGCACGTTCTGCTGCTTCCTTCACCTGGAAGAAGCAGCCAGCTGGGTGTGCATGGGCTCTTCTTCGGGGGTGGGTGGAAGAAAGGAAAGGGAATCCACCGATACCCCTGCTAAGAGGGTCTCATGCTGCCCATCTTTGCAGTTCTGAAACCTTTGAGCAAGGCTGGAATGCAAATTGTGAGAGCCAAGCACATTGGTCCTCTACACCTGCTACCTGCACTGGGAATCACACCTTGCTGGGGGGCTGACAGCTTTGGGAGCAGCAGCCTCTGGGTTTAGAACTAAAAGAAGCAGAGAGATATCCCACTGCTACACACCGTTTAAAATCAAACATTTTTGAATGATGATTTTAACATGTTTCTCAGTCTCCTTCAGAGCTTTAAAACGAACAAACAAACAAACAAAACAACACCCAAAAACTCCCAAACATGAGCGTGGAATGCACAGCTCCACAACATGGCTTGGCTCAGCTGAGGACAGAGCAGTTCACTTCCCAGGCTCATTTCACCACGGATGGATCTCAGAGTACCTGTGATAAGCCCCCCCTGAACTCCACACGGGCTCGCCCATCGCTTGAGACGAGCCTCAATTATTTAACATCCCATGTGGAGAGTGTAATTCGATTTCCAGCCATCTGTCTTCACAACATACTTTGGCTAAGGCATCGATTTCCGCATCTATGTCTGCGAGGCATTTGTCCAGCGTCTCCTTCCATCTGTTCACGCTGCTGATACGTTCAGCCAGCCGGGTTTGGTTGTCGTGCTCATCCCATTTGGTCTGGAATTAGAGGAGAAACGCGATGACTCGTTTTAAAATTGCAGTTGTGACTCTTGCTGGAGCCTCTCTGTGTTTGTGGGACTGACCGACCCCTTGCAGGCCTACAACATGTTTCCATCTGGTCTAAGAGTCACTTACACAAATGGGGAGCACAGGAAACACCACAAGCTGCAACAGATGCAAGAATCACACCCTGGGATTTTATGACAGTACATGTGCATCTCTGCACATGGCTCTGCAGGAAGTAAGTGCACCTATTTAGCAGGTTGTGTGGAGGTAAAGCCTTCTCCTGTTCCTTGTCCACACACCCAGATCTAGACGCTCTCCCCATTTCCCACTGCTCTGAGCAGCCCGGGAGCAGCCCCGCTGCCGGAGCCTGACCTGGTTGTTGGTTTCGTTGCGCAGAGCGCGGGTTTCCTGCCGGGCGTGGTGGGCAGCGGAGCGCTGGCGCTCGGCGTCGGCGGAGAGGAGCTGGGCACTGGTGTGCCAGTCGGGCACCGTGAACCGCTGCCCCGGCTTCACGCTCAGCGTGGCCATCTCGTGCAGGAAGGCAGCACAGGGGCCTGAGCTCGTTCATGGAAGAGCACCAGAAGTGGAGATGAATCCACAAACTGGAAAGCTGTTCAAGGGAAAAGCAGCAGTGAGCTCTGACCTGGCACCTCGCCTAACACAGACACGTGTCTACACAACCGGCAAGGCGGGGGACCAGAGCCCCCCCCGCCCCGGGCCAGCTGGAAAAGCCCTGTGCCCCCATCCCTGCCCGGAGGCCGGTGCTGCCTGCAGAGCCGGGAGCCG